TCGATGCTTCCAGACGTCCTCTTGCTCTCGAGACGCTGTGCAGAAGGCAAGGAGCATGTGTGTGATTTAGGCCGACATGGCGCCGGCATGGCGCCCCCGGCGCCGGCCCCCGTGGCAGAAATAACCACCGGCGAGAGTGCTGGCACATCTGGGTCCCTCATTATGAGGATGCAAGGAGCCTCGGCTATTGGGTTAGCGGAATAGAATAGATGAACACCAAGCCTGAAGTGGATCAATGGCGTGAAGCTGGCAGGCGACACGGGATTGTCTGAACACAAATCCGACAGGAACGTAGAAAACACTTTAGTTATTTTGGCTTATTGTGATTATTCATCTTCCAAAAAGAAATGCTGAGAAAATGCTTCCTGCACACCTGGTGAGTTTTGGTTGTTAAGTTGATTGGAAAATTGTGTTTTTGTTTTACAAAAAGTCAAAAGGCCACAGGGGGACAAGAGCGATGCACACAGCTAAATAAAGACCTGAGGATCGCGTTAAAAAAGCTCCATCTGTCAGAACGCGTGAATGTTTCAATGGATGACATGTGACAGACTTCGCAGGATTAAAGCCCAAACACGACATCCTGAGAAGCCCCCCGGTGTGATATATTCACTCCAGAGTTCCTGCGTTTTTGTAGTAAGTTCATCAGGAGACACTCATAACTGTCTGAGCCTTGAGTCATGATGCTGCAGACTCAAAGACACTAAACACAAGTGTTAAGACACACTTACAAGACACATCTGGGAACATCTGTTGTGCTCGTGGCTACACAGAGACAATGTGATAAGAGTTCCTTTCGCTATATTCTTTGAATATTATAAACTAACCTTTGTGCCTCGTCTTTAAATGACTTAATCGTTCCAACCGTGAATACAAATACATCCAGCTGTTTCAACAATGAAATATTGCCCTTATTTTACCAAACACTTTGAACAAACTGTATATCCTAGTTTATAGTTGCAGCATATCCTACATTTAACATTTATTCAGTTAATTACTTTGCACTTCTGATTTCCTTATTTCAGTACCTTAAGGGAAGGTTGAATAAAGGAAACATTATCATAAATTTCCTGCATTGGACGAGCCAATTTAGTAGAGAAATGACAACGAAGAAATATAAAATATCTTTAGACTTGTAAAAACACAGCCCTTCTGATCCTGCTCCTCCAAGCTGTTGGACTGGAACGCCGCCATACAGAAAATGAGGATGGGTTCAAAATAAAAACCTCTCAAAATACCAGACACATGATCAAGGCCCAGAGACACGTACGAGGAGCATGTATGATATCGACATATCTCGCCCATCGCCAATTAACGAACGTGAGGCTTCAATTGATTATGGTTGATGTGAGAACCGCATTAGTATCCTTCGGGGGAGCATCAGATAGATCAATGGACCACTGACAAGTTCACTGGCAGCCATAGAAGAGTCAAAATACACGTCCATTTGTGTATACGCATCACCTCAAACCGCGTTCCAGCCTTCAAGCCTTTTCAGCGACTAAGGAGATTCGGGCTCCTTTCAGTTTGAGTCGTACGTATCAAATACGCTTCTGACCTTCAAAAAAGCATTTCTGGTAAATACAGTTCATTGGCCGATATTTCGGTCGATAAGTAATAAATCGGGTCGTTAGGAGAGGGAGCGTTTATTTGTATTAAGGGAAGCTTTCCCTGATGAGTGAATGGGTGTCCAAGGAAGAAGGTGAGGGGATTCTTAACCATAAAACGTGCGCATCGGATGCCAAGGATTTATCCGACGCGCTCCTCCAACTGAAGCTCGGAAGCTGCACCAACGTTGGAGACAGTAAGAGTGATCTGCAATTGATGGATATTGAATTTAGGGGTCATCAGGGGTCGTTGACGTGATCTGGCATAAATCTTAAGAGTCCACCTAGATGTTGGTGAGGCACAAATGCCCTGAAGACAGTTTCTTTTCACCGTTTCACCGCTTTAAACGACGGTCGTTCATCTTGGTGCCCGTTCGGCACGTTTACAGAAGCCAACCGTGCAGTTAATCCTCTATTATCGACATTGGAGGAAATATTACTAAAGCAAAGTAAGAAAACTAAAGTGGTCGTAACTCATTTTGAATGTTACTTGAAGCGAGGCTTTAGAGACACGAACGTCTGTTGACAGAATCGGGCGCCCACTGTTTGGTGTTTGTTCGAGTAAAGGCCGTCTGACTGATGACAAATGGTACGTTTGGTTGGTCACAGCTAATGAGCAGCCCGAGGTTGATAATAAACGCAAAAACGCTCCGACACGTCGAGGATGCATCGGCTCGAAAGCTTTATGTGCCATTATCCTCAGCACCTCCATTGTTATTTACCACAAGACAGGCAACACAGTGTGGGAGGTGGGACGCACACCAACCAATTACCTTTGATTGAGGCACAGAAACACACCATTAAATTACTAATTATTTTTTTTGTTGTTTTTTCAAACCTGTCTATTGAAATAATTGGCTCAGCTTTGGGGAATTAATGGTTATTTGACAGTTCTGACACAATCATACATCATCGGTGGTTAAAAAAAGGACAGCATATATCATTATTTTAAGGCTTAACGGCTGTAATCAGTAAGAATAACCTAGAATTCACATATGCATTAGGTTCAACGGAGAGTTTCCCCCATAAACCAGTAACGGTTCCGCTATAAAGGTGGAAGACACATTGATGAATCTGAGGTTCAACAACCGGTCGGAGCCTTCTTTGCAGTTGCACAGCACAAGCTGTCCTTGGGACGCTGGGCAGCATGACAACCACATAACTTCAGCACAGCCGTCAGCACGGTTGAATAAAAGAAAAAGGGAATCACAGCTCTTGGCCGTCGCGAACAGACAAATCTCTTGCTTCTTAGATATCAGAGAGATGTCAACGCGCCTAAAAATATCGAAAACCGTCAAAACAATCCGTGACCAAGTCAAATCTTGACCACCTAGGCCCAGAAACTTCAAAGACAAAAGCCGTGCAAAAAGAAAAGACAAGCTATTTTCTGTCGCCTTAGGCCTTCTCCACTCTTTGAAACAAGCACACTACACTAAAATAACTCATGAACGTAAATGACTAAATAAACCCACAGTACTGAGTATTTGCTTTCCACGATACCTGAATAAACAGCTCAGATTGAAGACTTATGCATTGTTCTCTGACAAATGACGTGAGACGAGCAATCGCCGCCTGTGCGTGTGCGTCATTATGCGAGCGGTCTGCAGGATGCATCACATCGCATTCTCCTGATAGCTCACCATACATGATACATCAACATGAAAGCAAAACAGTTTCAAAGAAATGCACAGCATCCGGTCTCACCGACCTCTTCCGATCCCACATGGAGAGGATGAAGAGCTTTGGTGCTTTCAGGCCACTCCTGAAGCAGCAAAAATAGTGGCTCTTCAGAGCAGAATAGGAGGGCGGGAAGATGCTGAGCAGTGGTCATCAAATGCTCCATCATTATAATTATAATATAATTATAATAATAATAATAATTAGGAGGGACCATTTTTAAAGTCAATGCCTTTGCTGTAGCAAATCCACAGATTTAATGCATGCACGACCTTCCACGTGCAATAATTATATTATATACAGAGTAAAGTAAGCATTTCTAGCACAGCATGGACATAACCAACATGAATATTAGTTCTATAAATTAAAAAAAAATATTGAGACGGGTGTTGATAGAATCCCGGTCTAAATATTACTCTGCGAACAACTTATGGTGAGGTGCATGAATAACTGTCACCCAGTGACATGTTCGTCACCGGTCAGCGCTGGGTGCTGATGGCGTGTTCCACAGCACGTGACGATGGCTTAGTCTCATTACATCAGCAGTCTCAGATATCAACAACTGCTCACCAAGTCAGCAAAAATCTCCAAAAACAGAAGTTAATGATAAATAGATCAATTTGGTATTATTGACCTTTTCTGCTCAGCCTTAATCCATCATATAATGGTACTTCCATCTCAATGCATTTTCCAGTTGGCTCTGGTATTCACATATGGCCGCTTTTGCTCATTAAAAGTCCGTAATAACACTGTATTACACAAGATATCGTTAATTAATCTGGCATACTAGTTTTAGGGGCATTACTCTGTCCTGAGTGGAGACGGAGAGTCTCATTCCAGGTTTCTAAATGTGGTTTCAAAATTGGATAAGACGTAAATCGAATAGCAGTTGGGTCAATAAATTGGCTTGTATTAGCTTATTGTAAATGAACGCAATTATATCCGTCTATATATCTATATATAGATATATAGACTATATATATCTATATATAGATATAGACTATATATATCTATACATATATAGATATATATATACCATATAGATATATATAGTCTATATATCTATATATAGATATATAGATGAGTGACAACAAATTGCAGTACATCATTTAAAAACAGTGTATCTATTCTATTAAAATGCCCTGCTCAGTATGTATCTCAATAACAAAAACAATCCAGGGGATCCATATCAACATGGTTTGTTTATGTGATTATACTTTACTAGAGCACTATGATCGATATATTCTTAAACAGTTTATTTATCCAACATCAGCATGAGCCCCAGAAAGGCCGCATCTGCTGGGATACACGGAAAACATCTCTTCCTTTCTGCTCTTCATAAATACAGAAAACTTTTCTTACGTTTCTTACTGGCGTTTGAAGAGCAATGCACCCTCTATTCTCCAGCCGTAAGCTTATCTGAACAGTGAAGGTTGTACCACACGGAAAGGAGCACACCTGAGACCAACGGAGATTACCTGGCGAGTCACCAATGGCCTCTTCCAGTCACTTACTCTACTTTTAAAAAGAGTGGATTAACACTTTGGGGATTAACAAAAGTCGCCGTAAAGTGCGACGTAGCCGGCAGTTGTGTGAATTCATTTCCTCTCTGGTGAAGACTGCTTGATAGCAAAAAAGGCACACAAGAGGCCCCCTTCTGAGCCGCTGCCGACACCCACAGAGACTCCTCCTCCGGCTCCTCCTCTCCTCTCCTCTGCCTCATCCTACTTCCCTCCTCCTCACCTCTTCCTTCTCTTACATGTTGCCCAGAGCTCTATACAGCAGGAGGCTTTTGGCCATGTGGGAATTCCTCTCGGTAGTGGCTCACGGTTAAATCTGCATGTCGGAGCAGCGTGCGGCAGCCTTACCAGACGTGGCAAGCAGAAGCCTGGTAGGAGAAGAAGAAGTCCTAGAATCTGTGCAGCCTTGAGGAGCAAGGAAGCTCAACGCGGCTTTCGCTGCCAGGAGAGCCGCTCGAATTTTGGAAGTGAGAAACTGACGACTTTTTGCCGCTTTCGTCCGGTTTCCCAGAAGATGACGAGGTTTACCTTCGGTGAAAGAGAAGGATCGACGATGACATCTTCACCTGGTCACTGCTGAGGACCAGGAGTTCTGTGGAAAAAGGTCTGTACAGCACCGGCGAGGCACCTAAGCTCTGTCACATGGACATGGACACTGAACAGCTGTTGCATTTACCATCTCGTCTCAGAGAGAAACCAGACCGTTCGGGAGCGACGCGGCGATGCCGGAAAAACGTGTTTGCATCAAAGCGCCTCGTACTTAGCAACTGATGAGGAGGAGAGGCCGTGTGATGACCTACCTGTATTTGACAAGAGTGCTTTTCACCTCGTTGGAGAAAGGAGGACAGGAGGGGAAAAGTCAGCGAGGGGGAAGAGGGGAGGGGAAGAGCGAGCCAGCGAGGGAAGGTGTGAAGCCAACGCTGTAAAAGAGAACTGCAGAAGCTGGGAGACAGACAGAGAGAAAGAAATCTTTTTTTTATTTTTTTTAAAGACTGCCAGACTGAGGGAGAAACGGCCGTACACCCATTTAACGCAGCGGGATTGTGTTTTTTCAGAGCCATACGGGGTGAGTATAATTCCGTTTGATGTGGCTATTATGACAGGAAATTAAACAGCACAAGAGCAGATGTCAACTTACTGTTGAGTAGCATTCCAGGATGAATTCTAGCGTTGTACATTTTCGATTACTGAATAGTAAATAAAACCCTGAGTTACTGTATTAATGAATCACGGACCAAGTGCTGGTGTTCATCAGTTGTCACCGGTGCTTTTATAGTTCGTAGCTCCACGGTACATTTTGTTCAATGTGGAATCAAAACAGTCACTTTTGACGGATCCATAAAAGGTTATTATATTGATGCACATTTTACAAATACTAGTCTGGGTATGGCCATGTAGAGGTGCGCTTTGTTGTTTTTTTGCTCAGGAGAAAGTTGGATGTGCTGGAAGTAAGCGGACCTGATTTAAGTCATCATTAAAAACCCTGTGAATGAAAAGTCACATGACTTGCATCGAATCTCTCACATCACTGCAATCTTGGTGATAGAAAAGAAAAGAAAGAAAAGTTTTAAAACTGAACTAAAACAACACGAGATAATTTGGAAATGTACAAGCAGTTATTTATGTCATTTATTTGAGTATTTCAGCCATTTTTCAAGAAAGAAATGCCCAAATGCACCCGACAATTGCTTTTTTATTATTGATTAATTTGGGAATAATAATTGACTGCTCAATCAAACAAAAAAGCATGTCCGTGACTATCCATCGTTAAATATCCTTCAACAACCGTCAAAAAACCCTAAAACATATACAGATAAATATTTTATAAAATACTTGCAGCACTCCTTTTATTTCATCTGTAAATTAAATATCTTAAGACGATGGAAAATTCTAATGGCATTTTTTTTTCATCTCCTTTTAATCCTCAACATTGAGACAATTTATTTTAATAGGGAATAGTTTATCTGCAGTTCATCACGAAAGAGGGAAATAATTGCGGACCCTCCCGCTGCTTTACTCGACCTCCCGCCGTCCTCCGCCGGCCTCGTCGCGATCAACGATCGCAGGCAAACAAACCGCCGGTAACACTTTGTTTCCTGTTTTAGACGAGCCGACGGTACACGAACAGCCTCATTCCTCTGCTTTGACGCCATCCTCCTCCGGTCTGTATGGATAATCAAGTATCCATAACGACACCGGAACATATAAATGAATGGCATGATTGGGACTACTCATCTTGGTTAGGAAAACGTCCTTGTGTTTGTCAATCTAGTTAGCTGAACCACTGAAGCTCTAATGCGATTTCCTTTTGTCTCATCATGATTGAGCCTTGATAGGTGGCCATTAGCAGCCTCGGTAAACTACGGCTGCGGGGGAGGTGGATTGATCCCTTCATTAATGTGTACAGATAGACGGCCGTGTTAGGATGTAAATAATGCCCAACAATTCCCCCAAGTCACACAGGCACATGGACACACGGAGAGACGCACGCACGCAGAAGCAGAAAATTGCCCCATCTGCGATCATTACCCCTGGCAACCGCGCAATCAACCGCCAACAATGCGATGCCCGAGACGAGACCAAATAAGCATCGCCGTGGGGTAAAAACAAACGTTGACAGCGACTCATTCCTTAAGGCTTGATGGCGGCTCGATGTTTTTCGATTCATTTCAATACAAAGATTCACCTTTCGCCAAAAATTCCTATCAGATGAAAAGCGTTCTGTACAAAAGCAGCTTCTGGGAAAAAAATCAAAAAATCAAATCAATCAAAAGCACCACGGTCTCATCCTTGAAAACCAATCATCGCCTTCAATCAGAACACACGGACGCTAAAAGCACTTGGGATGTTTGTACAAGCAGTGGGGGCCACACAATCGCCATCTATGGGGCCGCAGGACGACGGAAATCAACATGACCTTCAATTCAATTCAAACACTGTTTGCATTCATTCCCTGTAAGGCTCCATTTTTCCTAATCATGGCGAGTACAGTAGAGAATTTCAATAAAGCCTTCGCAAACAGAAAGTCAGCCACCAACTGGTCTGATGACTTAATTATACATTTGAAAATAGAGGTTCAATGAAAAGGTAGACGCCTTTATGGACCTTTCAGCTTGGGTTTTCGAGCTTCCATTTGTATTGTATAAAATAATACATCAATACACAAAGAGATAAGGTCGCCAATGCTCTTAGAGGGATTCACTGCTGCCGCAAATGCACTTGGACACGAGTGAAATTTAAATTTAAATATAAACCGACCGAGGTTATATAAATGGAGATTATATAAACAGCAATGACAGAATCTGCACTAGAGCATCTTAGGTAGAGTGTAAGAATGAAAGGAGTGGGATGCATGGACTGCAATAGTATTATAGTGATGGAAAATGTACTCTAATGTTTTACCGAAATAAAACTAGAAAAGCTACAGTGTGGAAATGCTTTGTCCAACATCTGTATTCAAAGTCTTACCATCAAAATATACTTTCAGTACCAAAAGTATAAATACTTATTATGTTCAATGTTTCATTCACAGCCATATTTACATTCTGGAAGTATATATGCTCATGGAATTGGTATGTAAAGCCTCAGCAGGCTTTTCTTCCAGACATCCCTCTCCATCTGTTCAGGCTGGCAGTGGAGTCGTGAAGCAACAGCAGCTCTTTCCAGTCAAAAAGTAACTAAGCATTTCTCTCTAATCGGACGGGCGTTGACGGGTAGATTTCTCTCCGTGCGCAGGAAAAGGGGCTGATGGCAGTAATTAGTTTAATGAGCTATTCAGCCTCACCTACACTCAGCCAGAAACTTTGTAACTTTTGGTAAACAGCCGCCACAACATAAGAGTTGGAGTCAATACACCGACTGTAATGTCGAGTACATCAAATTGAGGAAAGGTGTGTTGTTTTTCTTAATATAACTGAATTTGAGACATGGGATGTCATTTTTCTTTATGGTTGAAACTACCGCTTCAAAATATACATTCAGTATTAAAAGAATAATACAATAATCTGAATTGTTTCAGATTCATCTTCTGTTTGTTAATCCATCAACTGATTGTTTCAGCTTTGAACATGAAAAGTTGGACGGTCTCACTTTGACCAACCTTCAATTCCATCTGCCCTTTATCGTCAGGTAGAACAAAACAATCCCACCCACACGGATTTATATTTATAGGGCTTTGTTTTAGGTTGTTCGTATGTGCTCGGCTCTCACAACATTATCAGATAAAAAGTGTATTTTTAGGCAGCAATCCTTATGACAAACTGCTTTGTGCAAAAAGTGAATCTACATTTGATTACGATCTTGTAAAAATCATCCCATAATAAATAAATAAATATATATATATATATAAACTAGCTCTGCTCTGAGATGCAGACTCCTGTAAGAACTTACATCACAAGAATGTTCAAAAGCACTGCTCTAAATCATTTCCATCCTAAATTACACCACATCTGCACATACCACTGACCTGTGCATCCTGCGCTGTGTTGCCACCACAACAACCCAAATACTTTGATACCTTGGATACAAAAGGACAGCAAAATAAACGCCCCAATGAGAAGTTTTTTACGATAACTTAAGCCAAGAGGAAAAGGGAGGTTTCTGTGGCAGATTCCTGATTCAACAGCAACCTTAATTGGCCAGGAAAACGGCTCTTGAAAGCATTGCCTCCCACGTACAATTAAGTATCCTCTAGAGAGCACCAGCCTCTTGCTGTACGGCATGACTAATCTGACAATGTGGGCAAAACACAGAGACAAGAGATACGAGTTAAACAACTCACTGGAGAACCTTTGGCATCCGAGCTACCACAGAAGTGGGGAGAGACGCGGCGCTGCAATGCTCTCCAACGCGCTAATAGCGTGAGAGAAATAAAATCACATCGAGCTGCCGAAGCACTCAGCCAGAGTTAAAAATGGCATTGTAACTTTATGCAAAAAACACAAGCACGGCCGCCGCAAAGTGTCGGGTTCAACTCCTGGATGTTGGGAAAAACAACAGCGTCAATGGAAGCTAATCAGACAGCCAGATCAGACGGGTGCTGCATCATGTACAGTACTTGGTCAGCGAGTATTGGCTGCATGTTAAATTCAACAAAATAGGGCTTTGGTTCAAACATTCAACCTTTCGCATCCATCAGCAAAGTTAACTGGTCTTTAACAACACTGAGCCGTGAGATTGAACAACAAACGCAAAACAAAAGGGAAACTGCCAATTACTTCTGTGTTTGACATTATGAGCCACTGCTATCAAATCACAGTCATTTGAAGCTTTGTATATGTTTGAATTTTGGATTGGACAACTTTATAACATTATGAATAAAACTTTAAAAATACTTTAAAGTCAACCGGCGAAGCAATTTCCGCAAATGTGACTCGAACTGTCCAAAATATGGAGTAAGACCACATTGGGCTTTGTACTTCGGGTAAAGGAAATATCAACAAGTACAGAGATGAGAGACTGCTGCGAGCCAAGGTGCTGAGAGAACGAGCACGGAGGCTGAAATTAGCAAACTAAGTCAAACCAGGATGTATGCAGACGTTTGACAGCACGGACTGTTCATTTGAACTAATTACGATACATGGACAACTAAAGAAAAACAACAGTAAATCATACACATTGTTATTACAGAGACTAATACTCAAAGTTCCTTTAAACCAATTCATCATTATTGATCGGAGGAATTGAGTCTACATGCATTTGTTCAAACTACAACAAAATGGTGCAGCACCAAATGCAGATATGTAATGGAATTTGTTGTGATGCGTACACATCCAAGCCCCAAACACAGAGGAATATTAATAAGTTTGTTTCATACGTCTGACTTGTCCCCCGGTCAAAAGCCGACTGAACCGGTGTTCTACAGGTGTCTTTTTGGGTTAGTGTCTTACCTGCGGACTCCAGCAGGACGTGGTAGTCTGTTCCTCTCTGAGTGGGCGTGTCTTCATCAGGCTCCTCCCTCTCTGATGCCTCATAACGGTCCCAGTTTGACGCCAGTTTCCTCCTGGAGAAAACCTCCTTCCTGTCACCTTCCTCCTGAAAGTTGTCTCCTTCATCTTCTCCTTTGTCCTGAAAGAAGAGGATGCACCGTCAGGAATGTGGGATTTAGGCTACAAATGGGAATACCGGTGCAGCCCATCCAACAGTCCGACCTAAAAACACTGGGTAATAAAAGCAAATACTTCAAAACAATAACAAACCGTTTTAAAAACGGCTTACACCATGATTCAATCATTTCTCATATAAAAAGGTGTAGAGATTGAACCGAAAATTCAAACTACCTTGGCCCTGAATCAAATTCAGAGATGACAAAGTACATTTAATTGATTAATCGACGGAAACTTGATTGGTGTTTTACAGATCAATTAATGCCTCAAATTACCTTGTTCCAACTCCTTAATATGGAGAAGAAAAAAAAGCCTTGAGGTAATTATTTTCTACAGAAAAAACAAATAAACTACAAAATATTCTGCAGATGAATCAATACCAAATACAATTGTTATTTTCAAGTGAAGGGTTAAAATGATCATAAAAAAAACCCCACCCAATTGTTATTTAATTGAGCATTAATGCGACAAAGAGTAATGGGACCTCAGTGCTGAAGAGTCAATGTGTTGGCATTTTTACACATTTCTCCCCATCCGAATTGTTGGTTAGGAAACGTACAGTTTGTGCACCTACCGGCATGAAACCTCAAAAAGACACCATCTTACCTTACACAAAAGGAACTGTATATTGATAACGTCCAGACATCATTCAGTTGGAGTTGATTATACAGAACCTACAGACGTGGAAGATTGTTGAAGGTTTTTAAAAGCAAAAAAAGCGGGTCAAGGTAAACGGCTCGTCCCATCGTGTGACAAAGAACAGCTGTCATACATTTCTTGCTGCTCACATGGCTGCAAACCTTTACCACGGTTGTCATGGAAATGTCCAAGGCGAACAAAGCATGCTCAGTTTTTCTAGTGTCCTGTCAAAAGGCAAAAACACACAAAACATTTTTTTTTAACAATATCATCAAAGACCCCATGGTCGTGATGGATCCATTAATGGGAATTTTTCATGATTGCAATCAGGGAGCCTCGGGTTCAAAGGAGATTCATATGATTGCAATCAAAGAGCCCCTATTGTTTTCCTTCTAGTTATGTAGCTTAGTTGCCATGGCAGGAGCATCAAATGATAGAGCATCCCAGTCAGGGCTGTAGTGGAGGGAAAACACGGTTTGCAAACCTCTGGAATTTTGGAAAATAGCGTTCACTCATCTCTAAATAGCGTTTACGCACCTAGAAAATATAAAAGCGTCTGCTGAATGACCTGTAATGTAATGTAGAAGTTCCCAGCGACTTGTACTCTGCTGTTGGAATAATCCAAAAAAAATTTGGTGTCATGGAGTTCATGGGTGCTATGGACTGTGCTTGCGTTGCTGCCTTTGCACCAAGCAGAACTTCTTAAAAGAAACACAATAGCGGGAGTAAAAATGGTAAATGGCCTGTACTTGTATAGCGCTTTTCTAGTCTTCTGACCACTCAAAGCGCTTTAACACTACATGACATCATTCACCCATTCACACCCATTCATACACTGATGACAGGAGAACCATACACAGTGACACCTGCCATCAGTAACTACCATTCACACACTGTAGTCGCAGCTACAGGAGCAATGTTGGGTTAAGTGTCTTGCCCAAGGACACAACGACATGCAAGTTAGCCGGGCCTGGGATCGAACCCATAACCCTCTGATTGGAGGACGACCGTGCTCCCCACTCACCCACAGTCGCCTCCAGAAGTCTCCTCCACAACCAAGTGTTGATGATGAAGACTTTGAAGGGTGACGGAAACCTCAAAGTATCTCAACATGCGTCCTGTGAGTGGGGAGCCAAGCTGTTGCTTCACTGAAGAGGCCTATGTGCCTAGATGCTTAATCAATACATTATTTGAAATAATGGAAGGTGTAGAGTAATCGGTAAGTGAAATACACCGAAAACAGGTCAGTTCTTAATGGCATTAATAGCTTAATGCTGAGTGTGTTTAATTGCAACATAGTTTCTTTTCATATTATAGTTTTCAGCTGGAACACCATGGGCAAGTTTCCAGAGGCCCCTTGATTGGAAATTAAGCTGAACTATCTGGCGTAATATCCAGATATATATAAGACCTATATAGATAGACCTATAAGATATAAGACGAAAACGCATGTGCATTGCGCATGCGCAGTAGAGGAGTGAGCCGTAGCCATGTCGACGCAGACCCACTTCTGTACCGTGAATGCACAGTAATCAAAAATAAATGTTTATATCATGTGAATCACAGCTCGACAACTGCTGCGGAGACACTTGGCTGTGAATGTGAGGGGGGGGATTTGACATTTGCAAACGTTCGGTAGTGAGACATGTCGGGGGAAGCCCGATACGTAACTTCTGCGCTCTCTCACCCGGTGTTGGAAGTCCGCCGAGGGGCCGCTCCCGCCGCGTCCACGACCGCGGTAGTGGTCTCTTTTACCCCGGCCGCGGTGGTGGCCTCCTCTCCCTCTGCCCCGCTGCTCACCACCGACACTTTCGCCGTTGCTTCCGCCTCTGCCGCCCCTTCTCCAACTGCCTCCTCTGACTGCGCTCGGTCTGGTGTCCATTGCTGTTAATTGCGGCCGGACAGTTTAGCGCGTGACACCTTCAACGTGAAGGAAATGAGTGTTACGTTGAATGGTGTCCCGCGACAAAAATGACGTTTGATCGTTCCGAGTCAATTAAAAAATTACACATTTCAGAATTGAATGACAATATAGAAACATATTTAGAGAGCGAGAGTTTATACATTTTATAAAATCATTCAAGTTTTTTTTCTTTTCATTTCAGGAAAACTCTTAATGGAGCCACAAGCTGGTACCCTTCTCTGACCTGTCAACAATAACAAGGAGGGATAACAGCATGGAAGTGGACCCTTCAAACAGCACTCTTGCCAACACATCATATGTCCAGGTGGCTTCTCACAATGTTTGGGAAGTTATTACCATCGCTACAGTATCAGCAATCGTCAGCTTGATAACTGTTGTGGGTAACGTGCTGGTTTTGCTCTCCTTCAAAGTCAACAGCCAGCTGAAGACCGTTAACAACTACTACCTACTCAGTCTGGCTTTCGCCGACCTCATCATTGGAGTGTTGTCAATGAACTTATACACCACATATATCCTTATGGGTTACTGGTCCTTGGGAAACATTGCATGTGATCTCTGGCTAGCAGTGGATTATGTTGCCAGCAACGCTTCAGTTATGAACTTACTTGTCATCAGCTTTGACAGGTACTTCTCCATCACAAGGCCGTTAACTTACAGGGCTAAAAGGACTCCAAAGAGAGCTGCCATCATGATTGGCCTTGCGTGGCTGGTGTCTTTTGTCCTTTGGGCGCCACCCATTCTGTGCTGGCAATACATTGTAGGTGAGAGAAGGGTGCTTCCTAACCAGTGCCATATCCAGTTTTTAACACAGCCTGTGATCACATTTGGTACAGCGATTGCCGCTTTCTATATCCCTGTCTCTGTTATGACCATCCTCTACTGTAGGATCTACAAGGAAACGCAGAGACGCACCAAAGATTTGGCTGAGCTACGAGGCCTGGCTACTGAAAATGTTCTAGAAGGGACTAAACCACAGAAAACTGCCATTCATTCTTGCTTTCATTTTACCAGAGAGAGAAGAGACCTCAGTCAGGCCTCCTGGTCCTCGTCTAACCAAAGCAACGCTACTAAAATGACAACCAGATCAGATGAGGCATGGGAGAAAGCAGATCAAATCACTTCCTTCAACAGCTACTCTACATCTGAGGAGGACGAGCAGCATGTGTCAATAGAAACCCCACAGAGGTCTTTCAAAGAGCAAGGTAGTGGGCAAAGTAATAAGAATGGACAAGTGACTGAGTATACAGAGGATCTATACTTTTCCACTCCTCAAAAGAAGAGTAGTAAAAAACACATCTCTTATAAATTCAAACCTGGCTCCAGCTCAAAGGGCAAAAACGGCAAACCAATGACTCCCGCGCCGTGCCTGGCCAAAGCAGATGAGCCCACCCAAACTGCCTCGCCTTCCCCCTCCACCACCTCCAAACCCATTGACCCCGTCCTGAAGAACCAGATCACCAAGAGGAAGAGGATGGTGCTTGTGAAGGAGAAGAAGGCGGCCCAGACTCTCAGTGCCATTCTGCTGGCTTTCATCCTCACATGGACGCCGTACAACATCATGGTGCTCATTTCCACTTTCTGCGCCGAGTGCATCCCCCAGTCCCTGTGGCACCTGGGCTACTGGCTGTGCTACGTCAACAGCACCATCAACCCCATGTGCTACGCGCTGTGCAACAAGACCTTTCAGAAGACCTTCCGCATGCTTCTGCTCTGCCAGTGGAGCAGGAGGAGGAGAGGCAACGACAAGCTCTACTGGGGCGGACAAAATCGAAACGTCAACAATAAAATGACTTGATGCGGCAAAACGTTGTTATAGAACAGATGCATTGCTTTTGTCCCCATGTGATGATTTTCTCGATGTGAACTTTAGTCAGTGGTCATCTTCAGCATGAAGTGCTGCATGTGATTTTTGTGTTAAAAAATAGATGTTGGTGAACAATTATCTGAGCCAAATGAAGCACTTAAACTGCTGTTCCTGATTATTATAGAAAGGAAACCTCAAAAAGGTGGTGACATGTTCTTACAATGTTTAAAGTGTTACGTTGCTCCCGAGGGAGCTGCACAAAGGCTGATGAACTCTCCTCAAATAATGTCACTCAGATTTTCTAAAGACTATGAGTTTGGAACTGAAGGCTACTTGGAGTTAGAAAGTAGTGGGTTTGTCAGACCTGATCTCAGCTGCAGGCTACATTAGCTGCTACCGGCATAACGCACCCGTAACTGTCTCTGGTTCTGCTGCCTCCGTTTGGAAATTGTCGTCCATGAGTCCAATGATGTCATAGCAGTGCTATGTGCTAAGTGGGTGGAGGACTCCCTTAATACTCACGTGCCAATGTGTTTGTGAAAGAATTATTGGTAGCTGTCCTCATGCTGCCCTCCTCGCCGTAGTGGCAAAAAGGTATTCTCCTCAAACTCTATCATGACAAATGTAGAAAATATTCGCATGTCCATCGATTCTGTCTTTTTTTTCTTTAGGGACAAGAAAATGTCAACTTTTTTTGTGTAAAAATCTTAACTGAAACAAACTGACACATGAGCTTTTTTTGTGTGAGCATGTGGATAAAACACTGAACGACTCCTTTAAACCTCATACAGTGTAATCCTCCTTTATTCCATTGCTGACTTGCACTGTATGTAAAGGACATATTGTAGGCATACACATTTCAAAGTAATCTATAGTATAACAAATATCTTTTACTGATTCTGTTGGATTTTACACCTCCCAAATGATAAATGTAAAATGACTTTGTGTATATCGGTGTTTAGGGAATGTTTTACTTTTGTAACTTGGCTCTTGTAATTGATATTTGATATTGTATTCAAGGGCTAATCTGTACATCTCAGTCCATTGGAAGTTGCATTAGTTTCACGTTGGTAACATGACAAATTAGATTGTTTACGAATCACACCTTTATTCCTGTCAACGTTCATATTACTGCAACAACAACAAAAACAAATTTGGCAAACATGGTCTTTAAACATAATGACTGCCAACTGGCCTTTCGAATAGATGAGTGATGCTGTTGAGTGTGATTGCACTTCTTTGTCTTTTAACAATGCAATGTCAGTTGTTATCTGAACGTATCTCCCTAAACTCTCTGCCTTTTGTTCTGCTCAGAGGCAAAAGAGCTTTGTGAATGCATCTCTGCTCATTGTTCATCCGTGCAGTTATGTGTAAGTGAGTCTGCGTAATGATGTGAATGGTGAAATACAAACTCAAAAGTGGAATTATACTTTTGTCAGCATGAACTTTTTCAACAGGACATGTTTTTATTTATGAATTATATATATATTTTTCCAATAATGCCAATCGTTACCCACTCAAAACAGTGGGGTAAAGAAACTAACATGCCATGGGTGACAAATGAGACTGTTGCTGAGTGCAAACCGAGCTCAGACCTCCTGGAGGTCATCAGAGGACTTCAGCACTCCAGTATGATGAAAGGAAAAGTCCGTAAAGATTTAAAAATTGACGCAATTCTCATAATTCTAGCTCTATACACAACCACAATGGGCTTTTAAATAAAACAAGATGTGCTTTGAGTGGAGATTCTCAACTTCAATTGGAGGGTATTTTCATCCAAAGTAGGTAGGGAGACTGCATTGTCGACAAAGACTGTGAAAAGACAAAAAGCTACATCCAATCAATCCCCAAAATAAGCCGCGTAGATGCACCTCAACAAATTCTCCCCCGACATCGACAACATTAGATATATTGTAACCAGCATTGTTCAAACCGTCTTGAATAAATTCTTGAATGAACCCCACAGGACAACTGGCTGACTTGTTCCTTCATTCCAATGAACGTGGGGACAACAGCTTGTTTTGACTCAATGCACCGTCCCGCTGCAGTGAACTTCAACTAATGAAAATAATCTTCAATAAATAAACTACTTCCTCATATTTTGGTGTGCTCAGAAAATAGAAGTTCACAGAGGTCTAAATAATAATTATGCTTGAAAGAAATAGTGAATACACACTGCCTATTTTTTTAAGATCTATATCTCCAGGTATCCAGTAGGCTGAGAAATTTAACAGAAATTTTGTATATTGTCTTATTATGGCATTTGTTGACAAAATGAACTGTAATCGCCAGAATCATTGCTTAAAGCAGTGGTTCCAAACTTTTAGGATTTGGACCCCAAAAATGGACAGTACGTAGCATTTAGCAGGATCGATTTGTGTAGATTACATGCAACACATGTGTCTTAAGTAACATTGTAATAAAGAATTGTTTTTATGATCTTAGAATGAGCGCTAAATACTAAATCTAATCAGCTTTTATTACAGTGTGTAAATATTTTGTTCAGCTTCTGCCTGATTTGTGTTTGTTGAAGCAGCACCGTTCGTTTTTGGGATGTGAATGCCGTAAACTGCTTGTTTTAGTGAAGACAGCAGTTTGGTTTCCATTTGAAGTGTAGTTTAGCATCCATTTCTGCAAATAGATTTCACTCAGTTGGGATGGGGAGTCATCTCTTGACGTCTTAGCTCAGTTGCAATTATGATTACAACAGTCTATCTCAACCGATTCATCGCCATGACAACACTTACAGCTATTGAAACCTCCGGAAATACCTGGAAACTGGAGTTGGTATTGTTTGTGAAATATAATAACAGAAGTAATTGGTCTTTTTATTGGTCATCAGCGACTAACTTATAATGTAGTGAGAACAAACACATTACTTTATTATGGACTTTACCATCCGCTTTATTAAAAGTGAAGTTACACTGTAGAGATCTTGAAGCAACCACGCAGCTCCTTCTTTTGAACTGCCACTCATTACCCTTGTAACTTACAATCAATGAATCCTGGTCATAAAGGAGGTTATACAATGATTAAAAATTGAGTAGACCATTCAAATAAATAAAAACAAAATTGTTATATACACCATTTCAATTTATTCATCTAGGCTTTTAAATAAGAATTTATCAGTTTTAAAATTCAATTAATCTTCATTCACAGTAATTACTGAAATTGAAAAAAAAAATCACTTTATATAATTTCTCTTTAAGGTAGTGGAATTAGCAGCAGTGGGAAAATGCACTCCAGAGGATTAGCACAGAATAGATGGATAAGTAGAAGAGCCACAGGTAGGAAGCAAAGAGCAAATGAAAGATAACAGCTTTTACAGGGTTTAGGAAATTTCTATCAGTGCAGTAAGAACGTTTCTAATAGCATATTAGAAAGCAAGCTGAGCTTTTTCAAACATCTGATAATGAAATCTGTACAATAGACCCAGGGGAAAGAAATTACACTTAAAAACTCGTGCTTCTATGGCATATCTCAGGCTTCCTTCGGCAGACTGAAGGGACATGTATAGTACTACCTCCTCTTCACGGCTGGCCGGGTGCCCTTGCTGCTGCTGCCTGCTTTGCTGGAGCCTTTGGAGCCGGAGAAGAGCTTGGTCATGAGCTCAGACACGTCGGGAAGCTCTGGGTTTGGGTTCAGCATGTTCATGGACTGCTCCATTTCCTGTAGAGAAAACCGTTGTAGATGAAGTTACACAGACTGATTAAATCCTCAAAAAATAATGTAGTTTCCCTTCGTTAAGAAACATGTTTACATATCAGGTTGAGGCCGGAATAGGGCATTATGAATAGTGTTCTTTTCACTACTGGAATTAAAAATTCTATTCTGCCATTAACTTGCATGATCTAGTCACAATCAATACATCATTAGCCTGATCAAAATGCATAGTGGAAGAAAATAAATGTCTTAGTTGTTATTTCAGATTCTGTTCCCAACCTCTAACAATTGTCTTTTAGTGAAATTGTTTGATCCAGAGAAGCTGTTATTTCCTGTGACTGCACATTATCATGGCCAGAACTCACTAGTAGAGAAAATTGGACAGCCCTGTTGTGAATAAAACTAATCTTAACCAGCCACAGAATTGGACCCGATTCAACAGCATGCAATACGGTTCAGAGATGCACAATAGTTTTGACACACTTAAGGCTATAATGGATTGTTTACCTTTCTCATCTCTGGGTCATTTGTGTTCACCACCTTGGGCAGTAGAACAATGATCAGCAGGGGAAGAACCATCATCATGACCTGCGGGGGCACCAAGACAATGCTTGAACGAAAGAACCCGGAAGTAGAAGCCCCCACCCCAGTTTTATGTTAATCACAATTTTTTTACCATTGGGTTCATCAGAAAATCTGTCCAGCCCCAGGTCTCTCTCTTCATGAAGTAGGTGTGGGGGCCATTGGCCCTGATTTGCAGAGGATATGGCTGGCGAATTACTTCAGAAGTCTTGATGTAGTTCACAAGACGTGCCCTGCGAGATGACACATGGTTACCAGTGGGTTAGAGATGCCTCTAAAAACAGTATGCTGAAAACTATGCAACGCTAACCAATGACAGACATTTGAGTAGGCCTTTTTGTTCTCCCAGAATAGTCTTACCTCATTTTGCCCTTGGATGTGATATCAACACGTACTGGCTCAAATCTATAATTTGGGGTGACAACTTCCACAACGTAGGATCCTGAGGGAACGTCATTCACAGCAAAACTTCCATCAGTTCTGTAACAAGAAAATTAGTTGAACAACAAAGTTAGTTTGGCATGTTTTGGGAGAAATGTTACTTTGACGTCATTGACATTGTCCTATGTGGAGCTATTGAATTGGATTGCATCATGTTGTGAAGTGGGTGTTTTGTATGATAATTTGTACATGAGAAACTAGCTCCTGATACATTCATCTTTTTGGGAGGAATTGTCAAACAACTCTAGTGGCATACATCTACACCGTTAAACCATTAGGTTTGTGTCAGCTGTTTGTTAACAACGTGGTAGATAAACAAAACCTTTTAACGGCAACATTTAAGGGACATCTCACTAATTAGGAAGAGGCCTTATGTCGATTTGTGCTTATTTCCGGTAGATCCATCCGGATAACGTTACAAACACGCAGTCAGGTGTGTTGTGAGAGGTCCTTTGTTTTAATACACCAGAGTACGAACTTTATGAGAGTGCGTTCAGAGGGCAACAACATCTGACGCGTCTCTTGTGGCGAAGGTTTGTTTTAGTAACCATGAGAGCGAGAGGCCTGGCTGAGCGCATAATACAACTTAATTAAAGGAAGTGACTGGTATCTAACTGGTTACTATTGAAATAACGCTGTTGCTGCCAAGGTTGGCAGCAGTTACATTCGCAGTTATTGACCTGTACATTAGTCGGGACACGTCGAAGGGCCGACAGCAGCTGCCGTGAGGCGAGCAATCAGCGGCAGGTCAGGGGACCGTTTAGGCTAGCTGGCCGTGCTAATGCTAGGTATCCTCGCTAACAGGCAACAAGCTAGCGGGCACAACTGCCGCCGTTTCTTACCTCACAAATCCCACGTACTCTTCACTTTCCACGAGGATTCTTGCCGTGGAGACCCAGTCTTGTGTTTTAACCCCCGGAACTATCGCCCTTCCCTCTATTTTGAACCGATCTCCATTCGGCTGGTAGGATAACGTTACCCCCGCGCCAGGCCCGGTTTCGATGTCAGTGAAACACCACGCGACGACGACCGCAGCCTGCACAAAAACCCACAGCAGCGGTGTTCTTTCCCTAAAACGCATGTCGTCTGTACTTATTAGGCTGATATTAGGTCTAAATTGATGTCCGTCAATGTGTAGTCGAAAGCAGTTTGGAGAAGAAGCGGAAGACTTGGTACATCAGCTGTGGCTGCGGAGAATGACGTCACATTCATTTAAAAAAAGCTTTATTGTTCAAATCGACAATGACATTTAGTCGCAGGCTGATTATTTACTTGATCATCAGGTGATGTACATTACGAGCCCAAATTCAAATTTAGGATGTTAGTTTGTGGCAAATGGTGTGATTTCGTCATGTGATCTCTCGCTCTAATATTTTCTAGTATTCCTTGAAAGGCTGCACTTAAAGATAATCTTAACTCTTAATGTTACATCTAAAAATGCATCGACATAACGGAATATTATTAAAATGTTATACTCTTATGCTTCAATCTGCCTTTAGTTGTCCTTTACTACTATAATACTTTATTCTTCAGTTATTGAAAGGATAAAGACTTTGGTTTTCCAAACGGAAAATGGAAACTAATTTTATAACTAAGTTATATAAAAAAACAAGAAGGGAACCATCACAACCAGGGCCTATTTAGATGGCCAAACTGGAAAAACTAGTTTGGCCTATTTGACAGCGCTTAAAATAGATTAGAATGGAGTAGGAATGTTTACCTACACACAAGTTAATTTGTAAGCATTAATGTACCCGTTTTATATACACACACAAATTTATAAAACCATTTGTATATATAAACACACACACATATATATATATATATATATATATATATATATACACACACACACACACATACAACAGCCACAATATAAAGGAATAAAATGATTTTTATCAAATTTATTTAAAAGAAGATTAAAAGAATCATTTGTTTTTACATTATACAGTTCAATGTCATACGAAGGGGCAAAGTGAAAACACAAGTTCTAATAACTTAAGACTGTTGCAGATTCAAGTTTATGATTCCAGAGAACCCAGGCGCAAAACACATTAAAACAGCCAAGCATTCATTACTTCCACAAGTGCATTTGCATACCATGGCAAAGAGTGACGCAGTGAGAGACAAAGAGTTTGGCACTTCATAAAGCGACGTTACACTGAGTCTCATGGAAGTCCTCTAGATATGCTCCTTCACAAGGTCCACTTCAATGTGAAGCAGTCATCTGCAGTGTGGTTTTTTTGTGTGGGGAAAAGCTCTCGCTCAGCTCCTCCCTAAGAGTCTCCCGCTCTAACTGAGGGAGTCGTCTCAACTGTCAAGTTCTGTCCCAGTGAAGGGTTGCGTTGAAGTTGTCCATTTCTCTGGCCTCATTATCAGTTCAAAACATAGCCAGGATCGGGCAGTAGTGGTCACATCCTCGGGGAGCTACGATGACAACCGTCAGGGCAGCTGCGATAGATAAGACTCGATGGTCTGCAACACGAAGTGGAGAAAACACATAAGTCTTGCAAGTGAAACAGTACTCTACACTCACAATAAACTGGGCTTTGTTTTGCATTTTATTCACTGCTACAACTAGTCGAGTGTTCCGACATTACAAACATCCCAACATACTGGTTTACTTATTTATAAAACCATGAATATTAAAAAAAGGAGAGGTTGATTTGGCTTTCTGCAACTTATTACTTCAAACACACCATCAGGTATCTTTCACAAACGTTGAATGAAATGGCAGAAGGGAGCGGGATGTATAGATGGAAACAAACGAATCACAAAACAAAGTCATCTCATACAAATGCTTATGCGAGCCAGCTTATGATTCGCCATAGAGAGTTTAGAGGTTGGGAGTGGTTGACGGTGTCCGCCCAAAATCAACAGAGGGTGAAAAAAACAAACAAAGGCGCACTAGTGAGACAATGTTCATCTGAAAACATTGACAAACTTGGCCAATAAAAAAAAGGAAAACTAATTGTGTGCTTAGGTTAATAAAAATGAAAATGAAACAGAAGCAGCACAAATATTAATACCACACATATGAAAGAGATGCATTACCAGCACATTGTACTTTAATTTACTCAACAACTGTTGGATTGTTGAATAATGATACATTTAGTGAGTCAAATCGGAATCTGCAACGTGCCCCAACCTGTCACATAAATATTGTCCTACAAGGCTTTTCACTGGGCGGTACACAGAAAGCAGCTTATCTTTTAGGTGCATTGGGGGCCTTTAGAGGGTGATCAATGTACAATGACTGAAAATAGTAAGATATATTTGTATCTTTTACAGCTAAAGATCATATTCAATCCATCGCCCTTTTAGTTGGCCGCCACAGGGTCAGTGTGCTCCCTTTGTCATAAAATCTGTCACCAGTGTTTCATCCTGAACCGAAGAATATTTCATCCGTTTTCCCAACCATGAACAGTAGAAACTTGTGTGTAACATAATGACATAGCAGATGTATCATTAGGTCCCAAGAAAGCAAAGTATTCAGTAAATTGTTGGTATGAAGTTGTTTGTACAAGTGCCACCATCACATAACCTCTCACCTTTGCCAGTTCTCCCGTAGATCCTGGAACCCCACATAACCGGGCCCCTTCCTTCCACAAGTCCTTCAGCCTCAGCTTCATGACTTCAAGATTCCTGCAAAAACACATACAACAAACATTTTATATAGAATCTAATGAAAACCTTGGAAAATGAGGTCCAGGTTTTAACTTATGGACATTGGTGGTATGGTATTTAAGCATTCACCGCCCACCTGTCTTCTGAACAACTGTCCCGCAGTCTTTTCTCATTCTTAGAAAGTTCTGGCCACCATTTCCTAATGACGGATTGAACCCAGTGTAAACCAACCATAATGTTCCTGTGAAAATAAGACAGATGGTAAATCAAACCATATCTGTAATATCTGACAAAGATATGCCATTCATCAGTTCTCACATCAATTAAAATAATAGTTATTACTCTCACGGCTGAAACCTCTTGAATTTATGCTGAATTGTCATCAAGACTAAACCACTACACTATTTTTACTTGGTGACACTTACTCTTCATATTGACTGGCGAGAATTGCTTTCACAAGGGGCACGAGGTCAACGCAGCAGCCAAGTGACAAACATGGTGCTTCGGTTTGCAGGCTGACAAAAAAAAAATGGGATCAGATTGAGTGTAATGTAAACAGGCAGGGGGGAAAAAAGACTTCAATAATCCCAGCTGTTGAATTCAGTCAAATTAACAAACAGCAAACACAAAAAATGTGGAACATTTAAAAGAGGCCATTAGGAATTTTATTTGAACTAAAAGGTTTTGCAACTTCATGCTCAATTTGGCCCGTGATACTAGAGTTTCTTCATATGATGAATTGTATACGCATGTATTATTTATGTTTTTAAGAACAGTAGGACGTAAGAACGTTTTGTACACTATCTTGAGTTGGGCAAAAACAAAAATGATTAGTTGCAGCTATAAAGAGGAGCTTTAAATGAATTACAGGTGCGGCTGAATCATTTAACAATGAATATGTGAAACACCCAAATGAGACTCACTTATTTGTTAAGACGGGTAAGCAGTCAAGCAGCACCCCTGTGTCTTCAATTCTGTAAAACCAACAAACGGTTGAAGATGAAGCATGTTATGCGATTGAGGAATTTACACAAACTACAGGACGGCAGTATTAGCGCTCGCTGATTTACCTTATTAGGTAGGCCACTAATTCACTGGCATTTTTTCGCCACAATGTTTGGGCCACTTTTAGTCGCAGGTTCCTCCCGAACAGGACGCGAGTCATGGCTTCGTGGTCCTTTGAGAGCTACATGTAAAGACAAGCAATGCACGAGGGGGGGAATTAAGTCTGCCTCCCCCAAAAAACAATTGGTTCCATTACTTTTTTTATAGAACAGAGCATCCGTTAGAACCCACCTCGGTGAAGTCTTTGTACTTGGAGCCGGCCCCTGCCATCTTGGAGGCCTCTGCAGAGTTCACAGGGAGCCCGCGGTTGTCATTGTAGTGCGTGCGACGTACATCATCGGTGCACGTCAGCTCATTTTCTTTGTTGGCCATGCCAGGTTTAGGGACACGGCCTACATCGGATGTTCTGCGGTGCAGCTTTAAGCCCACCTCCACCAATGGACCACCCTTCCTCTTGCAAGATGACAATCGCTTTGTCTTGGCGGGGCTCTGTACTCCGTAGTGGACTTGAAATCTGCCAAGAGCGAGGTTATCATGGACCAGAGGCTAAGCTGTCACAGTTTAGAAAAGCATTGAATGAATAGCCACACACATGGTGATAATGGTTAAGGAAAGGTGCCTTAATGATCCCGTGGCTGAGAGGGAAGATCTGTGGTACTCAGAGCGAATGGGTGACCGTAAACAGATGTGGATCAGAGACTCACCTTTCTTTATCTAATTCTTCCTTATTTATAATATCCACCTAAAACGAAAGGATAGGGGATGAAGCCACTACTACAATATCTACTTCTACAACACCACTGAACTGTACTTTACAGGCACAAGGATTTAATAAACAATCAGTTATCTAAAACAATAAGACTGTTGGTGGAGCTCACGTCTCCGTACCTCCTTCATGTTCTTTTCAGGAGAATAACGCAGGCAGGATCGCAGAAAGCCATATGGATTTATTCTGGTTGATCTTCAAGACTTCTCGTTGCCAGACATGCTCACCAGCTACCACAGTCCGAGACACTGCTGGATAAACAATCGCGGGAAACAAAAGGGAAAACTCTGGTTAGTTGTTTAGTGGCAATGACATCGAACAGGTCGTCTTCCCTTAGTCAACACATGACACGCAGCGGTGTGTTTAAGAAGAAGAAAAAAAGACTAAAAAGTAGCCGTTCAAATCGGTTAATTTAGCATAAGAACAACGCTACATCTTAGTTATGAAGGCGTTGGCCGCTGCGAAACGTCCCAAACATTAACTTGTTCATTAAAGGTGAAACAGGTTTAGTCTCTGGCAACAAATTGGACTAGCGAAAAAGTAAGCAAAGCATTTCGTAAACGTCCATTCGCGTGAAGTTAGCGTGTGCCCGTTGCTAGTTAGCCTACAACTTGTAGTTAGCTTTAGCTGTTAGCCTTTAGCTCAACTATCAAAAGATACACGGCAGACTATGAAAGTAACCAGCTGGGCCGCTGCTAAGCTAACAGCTAGCTGGCAGGTTAGCCTTCCAACTCAGGGAACATATGGCTTCATACCCCGTAGTTTCCTTTCACCGTTTAAACATGGAGGGGTGTTTCTACTAACCTGTTCATTTGCTGAAGACGCATTGGGTCTCATCGGGTGTGTAAATCCAAAACGTGGACAGCTGGTTGAACTCAAACTAGGTCTTGTCTCTGTGTGGGAGCCGCTAGCGTTTCAGAGGAGTACCGTTCAAACGAATACACCGCCGGTGTGCGGGGATCGGGGGATGGATTTTGGCAAAGAGAAGAAACACATTTAAATCCAAGTGCGCCCTGGCGCCCTCCGGCGGCGGTGTGGCTGTAGTGCAGGCAGGCCTGCTGCGTTTTAGTTATCCGGTAACGTTTTAGAGAAGAAGTGTTCACAGTGTTTATACCACAATGTGAAAACCTTCCGCTACAAGTAAAAGTCCTGCATTCAAAAGCGCATTTACGAATAGATAATTCCTACTGTGTTGAGTCCACCAATTGGTCTTTTGGTCACAGTACAGCACCCTTTGCAATGTCACTTAAAAAGGATAAAACATGGAGCCATGGCAACAAGGGGTCTTCAGGATGGTATTTTGGCAATACCAAAACGAGCAAAATCAGGTTGTTCAAGGTAATTAAATACAGAATTTAGGGATGTAATACTTTGATGTCCACAAACACGGCAATCATAAAAAACTATTTTCCATCCCTACAATCCATCCCCCATGCCGGGGCCCCGAAGAGCCCATCGCTGCTGTGGGATGTGCAGGTGTTCGTCATATCGTGCCCCTGTGTCCTTCAAAGTGGGGTTTATGTGACATTTAGGAGTCTCCAAGGCATATGTTAGAAATTACAGAGAGCATCATTCTGCTTTGAAATAAATTAGCATACAGATGTTTTAGCTTGACATTGAGGCAGATTTAATTATCCTGATTGAGTAATGCAATTCCAGTTCAACGTCAGCGTAGACTTCGACTCTCTTCTTTATAGGGAGAATACAAATATTTATGTTTTCTTCTTCCATGAACTAGAAGCAAATTCTTGATTGAAAACGTATTTTATTCCGTTTGAGATGTATTATTAATATATTTCTACAGGTTTTAAAATGTTTTACAAAAATAAAACACTTACTGCAACAACTGAACTGAGAATAGTGTCAGACAACTACTGAATATGTTATTGTAATACATATTTACACTTTGCTGTCTGTTTCATTAATTGAAACTAATCATCAGATTAGATCACAAAAGAAAATTGAGAAGGCACAGATGGTGTTCATTTTAGTCATCCGGGCTTTTTTGTAAATATATATCTTCATAAAAAATTAACATTAAACGCTAAATCTGCATTTCTCAGACAAAAGCAACCACCCACAAAGTCAGTAAGAGTATTAGGAGATTTACATTAGCGAGGTAGGATTAATATGATGCGGTTTCCTGCAGATGAAAACCTTCAGTGTTCAAAAGTAAAGCTGGAATTATTCTGAGATGAAAAGAAAATTCTCTTCATATTCCTAGGTTAAGTCTCTCGTAGCAGGATGAGCTTATTGCTAAGAAGCAGCATGACTTGGAGTGAAAGATGAATGAAACTGTTGGGGGAAAAACCTAATAAATCAAATCCAGTCCACGAGCCGTCCAACTTTCAGGGGATCTGGCATGAGAATCTCTCTCTCTTTGGTGATACAACCTGCTCCACACCGCCCTGGTTTGGGACCTTTTGTATCAACAAAAAAAAGTCTTCATTTATCCAGCGAAACATCTCTGAGATGGATCGACACGAAGTTTGATACAGACATGTGGCTACTCGACGATGAGTCCTTTTACTTTGCGACAACGACCTGTGACTTTGAATGAAATGTCTCAGCGGCTACTGGATTTACTGACATTTACCCCTCAGGATACATCGTAATAACTTGGCACATCTCTTTTCATTGAGAACAAACATTTGTGTAAAATTAGGATTTTACACAGATCATTAGCTGTACGAATACAATCTTTTTAATGTATTCAAGTCAATTGTCTAACACTTTTGTGTATTTTATTAATAAGTAACACCTCATCAACCATTAAGGCTGTTAACTCCCTGCTTTGAGTTTCCTGCAGGTCAAAGTCCTGCCTGCATTCACCCAGATCTTTACTTATGAAGTCAACAGGGCTTCAATGGCTGTGAAACAGTGTGGAATCCGTTAACTAGTTGAAGCAAAGACCTCCTTCCCTCGGCACCGGAAAAAAACGTGACAAAAATAATCTGCTACTTTCTTTTATCAAGAGAAGGGGAGGACGCGGTACTGAAGACCAATCAACTTCGCTCCCTAATCTGTCCTTTCCTGCCCCCCTTTCTATAGAAGCCCTCAGATCAGGGAGTGAAAACGCTCTGCCCTGTTGCCCTTGAATTTACTTGTAGCCACTCGAGCTTAATGTGGGTAATTGTGTTGACATTATGTAAGACTGTTTGAAGAGGTGCTTCGCACACAGCATCTGTGTTCTCTGAGCTGCTCTCTGCCACCATGAACGATTCTAGCTCCTCGTCCACAGGCCGCAAACCAAATAAAATCAAAGTGATTGCGAAAATGTCGAGGAGGGAGAGGTGGCAGCAATTTGAGTATTCCTCTCGTAAGATTGATTCAGGGACACACGCCCAGGATTTGTTGAACCAAGCTACTCATACTTCCAGATGTGCAATTCACTTGGGAATCTTCTAATAATCCCCTTGACCAATCTCAGTTTAGCCTATATAGTAGTTCACATTTCATTCCTTTAAAATGTATTTTGTACCTGTTGTCACCACCCAGGACCAGCATGAGACATTGTTGAGTGATTTAAATACTGTGACATCTACCAGGAATCAGTGATATGGCTGACTGTAAAATAACATCCAATCAGGGAATTGTTGAGATTGAGATTTTATCTTTTTCAACATTACCCCATGATTGTTTTTTTTTTTCAATCGTTTCATAGAGAAACCCTATACATGCATTGAAACATCCATATCTAGGCCCCAAAGTACAGGTTGTGTGTTTATTTCCCGCCATAAGACCGGCTTGTTATCGAGCCTTTCTGGATCGGTTGTCTGCCCAGTTTGTTTACAATTTGAGGCCGAAGTCCTGATTAATTTGAGCCGCTAGTCAATCGGTGAGGCGGTTTTGGATGAGTGGCAAATTTCGTTGCCCTAAGTCAGGACATACGGATCTGCAGGTAGGTGGCCCTTTACAGCAAACAGATGCCGCGGGTATGAACTCAGACGTCCTTTCAGGGCTCACTGCAACACTAGATGGCAGTGTGTGTCTGCAGCTGCTGGTCCTTCGGCTGGACGTCTAGACAGCCGGGTTTGCTGCCGTTGGGTTGTCTGCCTGGGATGGTCTTTATTACTTCGCAGGGCAGCCGAAGTCTCGTCTCCCCATGAAGCCACAAAGACTTAGGCAAAGAAAATCAAGAAAAGCGTGTGTGAAGAGTGAACGACACAGCCCTACCCGGCCTGACTCTTTTCTACGTAACCCTGATCTGAAAGAGGGAGCTGTGGGCTTTATGGTTAATAAAGTCAACGCTAATGCACAAATCGAAAGTGCTCAGTTTCGATTGAACCTCATTCATCAGCCAAGAATGACGGTGACAACGGTCGCAACAGGTCGAACAAAGCTAACAGGAGTGAAGGTCTCAGAAGATAGTCGAATAGCCAGGGAAGCCCCCCACAGCCCTCTCACATTGGTTTCTGTAAATATCCATTTTTGGCCAGCTGTGCCGAGGTGAGAAATAAGCCAGTTTGGGCTTATCTTCCAATCCCTGGTACTCAAATTCTTGACAGTTGCCGCTTTGCATGCGAACAACCGAGTGCAACACGTATAATTTTTCCAATAGGTATACCTGCACTTTTCAGTAAGAAGCCATTAGTCAGGAATGTGGGAAAGGTGCTTGAGGACATGGATGTATCTCATGATAATTTACAACTAGGCAAAATTCTCAGTGATTGAATAAGATCAACATCAAAACTCAACATGGGAACAACTCGTGACAAGTGATAACTCAGAGAGCCCAACCTCCGTCACACCATCACACCCTGACCTTAACCCTGATTTTCAGCTGCCGCTTCACGTTTGACATTTGACTCGGCTGTCATTCAAGTGTCTTTAACTTTCGTTACACATTTTTAGGGAGCCGCTATACATGCTTATTATTCCATACTAACACGTGTCCCTTTGAGGAGTTGCCTAAGCGCTACCGGGGAGTCTATCCAACGCCTACATTAGTCACTATAATCATTTGAATCCAGGATGTGAGAGCAAAAATACACTTGTATAACTTCACGGCATGAACACAGACCCAACGATGATGAAGTGCTTTCATACCGTCGACTGCAGACCACATATCCTAGCATGGCTGGAACATGTGGCTGCAATGAGCTTCTCCACGATATTTACATTTTTTTTCAGCCAGAGGTTTAGGGATTAAATTAGTTGAACTTATGTTTTGGCTTTAGGTCTTTGGAAATGTTTTGCACTGGTCGTTCATAGCCGAGAGCATGAAATTGACAGGAAATAGAGGCATCTATATGCGCTGCACCTCTCAGACGGGAATGTCTGGAAAGGCCAGGTCTATTTGGACTGCAGCTTGACCAAGCTTCAACACTTGCTTTTGAACAGGGACAAGAGTTGAGAAGGGGGAGAAGATAGAGCTAGAAATATATCCACTTATTTTGAGAAATCATTCATTTATGACTTTTATTTTTATTTTCATAACCCCGCTCAGAGGTTCCATTACCTAAAATAACATTGTAATACCAAAAATAGTTCTCTTTTTATTCCTTTGGATATGGTTTTATTTTATTTCCTTTACCTCAAATGTTTAATTTGGAACCGCATAAGTTGAGGCTCCTACTTCTTGACACAAGTGTGTCACACTTCACGAGGTTCCCAGTCGGACGGAGACTTGACAACAGTGACAGTCTCCGCCTTACAGATCGCTGTAAGCCAGTAATAATCTTAAAGTTGTAATATTATCTGTCTCTCAAAGGGTCCCATTATGCAACTCTTTTCAAATGCAGAGCTGAACCGAAAGAGCAACTTGTTTTCATCAAGTACGTGCAGTTACCTCTTTAGTAATTTACAAGAGTAGTTTAATTCCAACTTAACCCTTTGTTGCATGGCTCCCTGTCAGCGGCCTGTTTCGGTAACCATAGATTCCAACCCCCCAACCTACGGGCCACAGAGGAGATGCAAGACAGGCCGCATGCACAATATTAGCTGTCCTTTTCCCGGCACTCCACGCTGAAGTCAACATTCAACG